AGTAGTAGCAGCAGAAGTAACAGCAGCAGCAGCAGGAGGAGGAGTAGTAGTAGTAGTAGTAGTAGCAGTAGCAGTAGCAGTAGCAGTAGCAGGATCAGCAGTCGTTGTAGCAAGCATCAGTGGCAAGAGAAGAAGCAATAACTAGCCTCAGCAGTGGTTGTGGAAACAATGAGGAGCTGTCATCCTAGATACAAGTGGTTGCCCCAGCAATGGAAACAGCAGCCTGCAGCAGCACCAATTGCACGGGATCGTGCCAGTCCTACGACATCGAACGAATCCTGAAATAACTACAATAACGCAAACCTAAGCCCTTCTCCGCGCAGCCTGCGCTTTCTTCTCCGCCCTCATTTGGAGGTACAAAGGCATCAAGTCTTCACCAGTCATCTCATGGTGCCTCGCTTCAGATTGGGGCTGAGTCAAAAAGCTGCGCAGGTGGGATGAAGGACGGGGACCGGGCCAAAAAGATCCCATAGACATAGGATCCGATTTTGATGGGATGTGCCGTTTCCTAGGCCACTGTTGTTGAAGCACAAATACTCGGAGCGAGTCACAGCCTACATATGGAAATAATATATGTATTTGTTTGTATCTATATACAACCTTAAAGGGCAGGATTGCGAACTCTAAATGCGAACCCCTCAGGTCACTCAGGTCTTGGCGTCTTAACAACCAACCTCCCTAAACCCATAGACCCAAAAAACATTAGACCTGAGCCCCCACAACCAAGAGCCCACATCCCAAAAGTAACCTAGACTTTCCGGAAGTTGACGTCCGCTCCTGCAGTCAGCTCCGCAGGGATTGAAGGTATGTCCCTTCTTCATGAAGAAACCACTGCTATTCCTACATTGCCGACACTACCGATCTTTTGGTGCCGAAGAACCCTTCAGGACCAAAATCGATGAATTCAACATCGATGGAAACTCTTGCTGGCAACCAAGGCACCTGTTTATGACCGCGGAAATAGAAGACATCAGTGCGCCTTCCCCATTGTACTGGAAGCGAACATACGTCCTCAGACGGGAAAGTGCGCTCGGAAAGCTAGTCGAAATTCGTTGGGGGTTCAAGGTTCCGATCCCACCATGCGGACACGAAAAATCTTGTAACTGACATCCGAAGGGGCTTGCCCTTGTAGCCGCCGGTCTTGTACTGCTTCCTCATGCGGCTGCAGCGCACCGCGAACGACAAACATGGGAACTCTACAGGAGAATGCTAGCCGTCGGTTTGATCGTATTACCAACGCCACGACGAGAAAGACAGAGACATCATGCCCATCACCATCGACATCACTGACACTATCGCGTCATTCTTGATGTTGCTCCTGCGCTTTAATGTCATCTTCCGCTTAATCTTCTTGGCCAGTTTCAGCCCCATCTTCTTCACTCATGAACGTCAGCATGAAAGAAAGTAAGCGTCTAGCAGTACGCTGTTCCTGCTGTCTACGACGAGAGAAGAAACTCAATGGTATGGTCGTGAGACGCTACCGGGTGATCCCAAGACCTACTACACGGTTGTCTCTTGCTGATCCAAATCCCCAACAACAACCGTTCATAAGGACCCCTGAGGGGGGTATGGGGGAGACGTAGGGGACGGTAACCTAGCAACCTCCCCCTTGCCCCCCTAAGCGTCCCTATGAACCGTCTTCGTTGGCAAGTCAAGCTTATTCGTCAACTGCGGGAAACCATCGGAAGAGACTTGATCATTAGCTCGAAGATCTCTTAGACAGTTCTTTCAGGAGCTTAAGAGCAATGCTACTTCGACGGCGAATTTGAGGGTTTACCTAAGGCGTCTACTCACAAAGACATATAGAGACATCGGAACTTTATAAAGAAACAGAAGCGTGGCAGAGCTTTGCAGCGGTTGAGGTCTCAGTGATAAGGGCTTAGGGTTTACAGTTGGTGCAATTATGTCATCGCGGGCAGTTGGTCAACAGGATGCTCTTGCACAGACAGTTCTATTCATCCGCTTGCAACTCCAACGCCTAAATGAGAGATTCGATGAAATGAACCCTCGCGTGCGTGTGTTCATGACAAACATTGAAGGAAGGGAAATCGAGGAACGAACGGAAGAGTTTCATGTAGGGAACGAAGACAAGTTGTGGATGCTGCTTCTCCTTCTTCCGCTCCTACTGCTTCTGCTGCTGGTAATCAGGATGATGATGATGATGATGGTGCTGATGATGATGATGATGATGATGATGATGTTGATGATGACGATGATGATGATGATGATGATGATGATGACGACGTTCAAGCATCTCGGCCCGAGCCTTTTAAGAAGCTCCCAACATGGCGCACGCGGCGCTGCGACTGCTTTTGGCGTTTACAACACTGCTGCTGAAAACATTCGAAGTACAATACAGTGTTA